ACACACACACACACACACACACACACACACACACACACACAGAGCCAACAGCTTCCCCAAACCAGATATGCAGGTTCTGTTTAAAAAATTGAACGGCACGGACAATTTTCAATTTTGGAATGCACTGGCCTCCATGGGGGACATTAGCTAATGTGTAACAGAGTTCTTAGAGCTTTTGGTTGTAAGCAAAGATCTCTGAATACCTACATTTCTCGAGGAAAAGAACTCAGAATATGATAGACAGTTGTGCTCCCCACTTAATTTCCCAGTTTTACAATTCATCTACTACCCGCAGCAAGAAATAGTACTGTCAAGAACTTTCTCATGCAAATATTCATGCTAGGAAGCTGATACCATTTGTTGTTGTGCTCCGAAAATTCTGTACTTATCTAAAGGACTTTTCAAATGTGTATAGGCTTTAAACAACTTCAGAACTCTAGCAAACCTACCCCGTCTAGCATTTATTTCCCAGCCTTTGTATATAGGGTTATAAATGCCACTTTCAGAGTTAATAAAGATTATTTATTCCCACTAAAATGAACTTCTGGACTAAGTGCTATAGGCAAATGAGGCTAACAACAGAACAGTTATTAAAGCCAAGAGGAACTTTATTCAAAATAATATATTGAGAGCTTCTAGGACCTAAGGGTTTCCCCACTCTAGTTAACTAGCATATGGATACCAGCATTCTTTTTTTTTAATAATAACTTTATTAAATTTTTAAAAAAACAGAAAGATAAAAACTAACAAGAACTAATAATCAAGAAAGAGAATAGGAAAAAAGAAAGAATAAAGAGAAAGAAAGAAAGCAATAGTGCAGAAAAAGAAAAAAGAAAGAAGCAGAAATACAACTTCAACTTCATTTTTTCTATAATTATTAATTTTACTAATCATCAAATCCATATATCATAATTTCATTTTTTTTCTGTTTCCTGCAAGAAGTCCAAAACGGGCTTCCAATTAGCATTAAAATTATCCAGTGTCTTTTCTCTAATCAAAGCTGTCAATTTCTCCATCTCAGCTAGTTCCATCAACTTTACAATCCATTCTTCCATTGTAGGTAATATCAAGTCTTTCCACCTTTGAGCATATAGAAGTCTTGCTGCAGTTATCATATATAAAAACAAAGGTCCGTGAGCTTTTTCCAATTGTTTATCCATCAGCCCCAAAATAAATGTCTCTGGTTTTGATTTTATACTAATCA